TATCTCCAAACATATTGCGGCTATGCTTATTCTTCTCCTAGCCACACATTTTTGCAAATACGTTCTTAAGTATCTTCGGTTCGATCTTTCAGGCAAATATATAACATAAATACAAAAGTTTGTTAATACTAAAAAGCGAAAACGTTTGACTCGCCTTTTGATGCTGGGCAAGACTATATATATATTTTTCTGACATGTTTCTTGCTGTTACATATATTTGCAGAAAACGAGTATACCCATTTTCAATGGACTCAGTGTATAAACAGCAGCAGCAGCAGAGGCAACAACGGCAACTATTGCTAAAAATACATTTTTTTTTAAGATTTAACTTTGCTGTTGTTGTAGTTGTTGTTGTTGTCGCACGCGCTGCCTTCATTGTCATTGTTCTCTAGCTGGGTTGGTCTAGCCGTGCAGCAAAGGGGTGAATGGGGGATGTGGTGGCAAGTATTGGGCGTAGGCAGTGGTATATAGTTGAAACGCTTTGCGAGTGCAGCAAGTGAGAAGCGAAAGAAAGTTGAAGAAGAAGCACTACACTTGACCTCGACAGTGAATTATAATTTATGAGTTCGACCAAATGAAAATCTTAGTTGATCTAAATTTACTCAGCGCGTCATGAGTACAACAATTTAATGCTACTATGAATAGACCAAAGGCTGTTTTTAGGAGTGAATTTCTGAGAAGCGATTAGAGAAGCTGCAGGCGCTGTAGAATTATAATTGCACAGAAATATGCTTAAGAGGATGCAAAAGGTTTTGGAAAAGCGAAGCTTTGAAAGAAATTGATATAGATATAGCAAAGCGAGAAACATTTACAGAATAGAAACGAAGCGAATGAAGAAAATGTGACGACGAATATTTTATATATAAAAGCTGTCTAGAAAAACAAAAAAGAAAAAAAACGCATTGATAGGTGCAAAGCGAGAAGTTTTTCGAGACTTCGCTTCTCTAAAATTAGATTTGTTTAGTTTTGTGGGAAACGGGATTAGATTTGTGTGTGTTCGTGTGTGTATAGCTCAGAGACTATCTCTGTATTAAAATCAATATGATGGAAACAGAGAAAAACATACAAAAAAAGAAAATGTCTATTAAATATTTTGAGTGCAGTAAACAGTTGGACGAACATAGCCAGATCGCCTCTGCATTTGATGAATACAAATTATGTAAGAACAATAATATTTCGCCAGAAGCCAAATGGTTCAGTTCAAAGTTGGGACGACCTGAACGAACTTATCAGTGTATCAGTGGATATCATTCAGAGAACTATTAGAAGTTGTTTTTATGGGCAACGGGTCGATATTCCATTTGTGGTTTCTTATGCTGCTGCTGCTGCTGCTGTTGTTATTGCCGATTGCTTGAAGCAACAAAATTATTTATTTATTTCTTGGCGCTGTTTGTTTCTGATTTGTTTGTTTGCTTTCAACGTTGTAGCTGCCGCTTGCTGTTGCTTGCCAAGGCAGAAATTGATTTTTATAAATAGCGCGCATACGCAACGTGGCACGCACTGAAGTAGAAAGCAGCACATTGGCTGTCTCTCTGTTTGCCTCTCTGGCTGTGTGTGTGTGTGTGTTTGAGTTTCTGTTTGCCCTCGTCTACTTTCGCTTGTCAAAAAATTTGTTGCCCGGGTTGGGGTGTGTGTATGCTTGGGGTGCATGCATGGGGTGCAGCAGCTGCTGTCACGGCACAGCTACAATAGATCGCTTCAATGGATACGTATGGAATGTTGCTGCTACTGCTGTTGCTGCTGCAGCATTCGCCATGGATGTGATTTTTTTGTTCTGCTCTCTCTGTTTTCTGTTCTCTGCCAACAAAAAGGCGAACAGCATCAGGAATCAGCGACACGGAATTGCTTTGACTCGCTTTGTAATTCTGTTTACTAAGCAATCTCAAACCAATCGTTGCAGATGCAATATACGTATCTGAATGCTATATACTCAGTATTCGAACTCTTTGCATAATCAAACAATTTGAGTGCTGCCCGTCTCTCCTAACCCCTACCGGTCCCTCTTCCTCTGTGTGCGCTACACTCTGCATGTGGCCTTCTTGCGAAATGCTCGCTATAATACAAATCTGAAAGCACAAGAAAAAATATCAGTTTATGCCAGGCGCAGCATTAAATACTCTTTAAATGTGAAGTATATTTATGTTCGTCTAGTCAAATAGCTAACAATTAAATTGATTATGAGCTCTAGCTATATGCAGATTATACTGAACGGATTACTGAGCAGAGCATCTAAGCTTGAGTCTTAATAAAGCCTTCGCTTGACACTTTTAGAAATACAAGAATTTCTGTAATTCTGATCAGATATAAAAAAAAATTTTACATGCGTTACCTATTTGATGATACAATTAAAGAACTCATTTTTTTACTCTCTTAAATATGTATTAATTGAATTGTGTTGCCAGGCCAGCTAACAACACATTTGCTCGCCGTTTGTTTAGATTTCATTTACGGCTCTTTATTTCCATTGGTGTTTTTCTTTTTGTTGTTATTTTTTATTCGATTTTATAGACAATTTCGTTTATAATTGAATTCAGCTTCGTTTTCACTTTGGCTTTTGCTCAATGTTAATTGCACAATGTTTATTTTATGGCTCCATTAAGTATTTCAAATGAAAATCAGGCTCACACACACACACACACACAAACACATGCACGCACACATGAGCATACACAGACTGGATGCGCACAAAAGACATTACGCATACGCCCCGTGTGCTACATACAAAAATTGCATTGAGCACTCGACATGCACAGCACACACACACACACACACACACAAACACACACACAAATGTCATGTAAATGGCGTTATAATCAGCGCTAATGTGCTTAAATGAGGGCTGGGGCCCAGGCCATTGTTGGTTGGGTGGATCGGTTCGGTGGTGCCATCACGTGTCCAAGTGGCGATTTTTAAGTAAATTTTCAACGCCGCTTCGTTTCGCCCAGTGCCGCCGGCCGCAACCTTCCATACAACTGGGTCAATGCAAAACGGAAGCATTTTGCAAATATGTTTTCGCCCACGTGGCAATTTTCAGTGGCTCTTTGTGTAACTTTGGGCGCTACACTCGCCAATTTGGGCAATTTTCTTGAAATTCCGATGCAGCAACTGGAACTGGAACAATGATGCAAAGCGATTCGTTGTTGCATGAATGGCTTTTGAGCATCCGAAATAACCGCAAAACCGATATCAATTGAGTTTCCATTCACATGCTCAAACTGGGGTGCATTGCTATGGGTAAAGTTGGCTCTTTTATCTCCTAACCGATTCGTTAGCAAACCCAAATTGCCTGCTAAATGCCTTGCATGTGCCTTAAATAATAAACTTACTATTTAACACATAAAGCGGTTCGCTTATGACTTACGTTTCTGGTATTGAATCTCTCGTACAGATTGTAAATATATTGTATTAACTGCCTCGTCATTTGGTCAGGAGGCGATAAACCAAAAGATTCACGATAACTAACGCAAAACGTAGCGATTATAAACCGATTTGCTTACGATTTTTACCCGTTTCGCATTATTCACACACCCGAAAAATTGAAAAATTATGTTCTTTTACCCTATTCACTAACGAACCGATTCGTTTGAGTTTGATATCTCTTTCCAATTGCTTGCTGAATAAGCTTATTAAACCACGTTGTATGTTGACCGACTTATTTTAGATTTTTAACCATTAGGCAATCACCCTTCAATTTTAATCAACTCTCAGCAGGACTTGTGGTTAGGCCATGACTATAATAAACTAGATTTTTCAAATGATTAATTTTATATACATAACTGCTTTGCTTCTGTCTTATAACTAGGCTAATTAAGCCGATTATTTAACATGGATTTCACTCATAACGTCTCTAAACCGATTTCTTGTATGTTAACCGATTCGTTTTCAAACCGCTTTGGCTCATCTTCTTGGGCAAACGATTAAGCCATAACCGCTTCGCTGTAGATTAATATTGACAGCTGGCTCTGAAGTAATGTTATCCGTTTCGCTGTTAAATCGTTGTGTTTTAGGACTGTTATCGTTTAACCTAACCTTAACGAATCTTAACAGTTCGATCTGTAACCGTTTTAACCGATTTAATGTTAACCGTCTCATTTTGAAATCGTCTGAATTTTCATTTATATTCAATTAATTTATTGATTCAATTTTCAAACTTTTGGCTGCTTAGCACATGCCCAATGCACCTGCCCCTACCACCTACCCCCGACCCCCTACCCCCTACCCCCTACCTCCAAACACTCGCCACTCCACTGCAGGCGTCGCTCGTCCTGCCAAGTGGGTCAATGCAAAACGGAAGCGTTTTCGAGCATGTGAAATATGCATTGCCTAGTTTCAGGCGCAGCAGTCGCAACGACAACAATTTAAAATGAAATTTTCTGCACTCGTCCTTAATCAACGTTCGCTGGCCCAAAGGCGTTTATCCTTGCTGCTGCTGCCATTGCTGTTGTTATGTTGTTGTTTTTGTTGTTGCTTTAGTTGTTATCTTTGCTTCATTTGGCGCAATTTCAACTTGAGCACGCAAATTCCCGCCGGCACACACAGCCCATAAAGTGGGCATTGGCTGGGGCAGAGTACCAGTGTGGATGGGCGTGGCAATTAATGACAACAATCCTATGCAAATTGTGTGTTCGCAAGCTAAAGAGCTCAAGACAGGAGCCAAAGAGCCGCCACCAATAGCAACAAGAACAAAAACAACAGCCGCATTTCGACATTGAACCCTGTAATAATGCCCTGTAATTACCATCAAGTGGACGGCCCCGAAAGAGGCGACATTTTATCGATTACCAAAACGAAGGTCAACTCGACTTCGATCTTGATGAAAAGCTGCCTAAGTGGAGATTGGGCGTGGAATGGGCTAGACTCCAAAGTGGACATTAATTGAATCAGAGTGCCGGAATGTGGGTCAATGTGTTTGTGGTTCGCCTCACGCATTTTCATGTGTGTGTGCGCGTGTGTGTTTGCTTTACATGCTGACCGAAATGTTAATTAAATTTTAAGCTGACCGTTTGCACATTCCCGATTCAAAGTGTGCGGCTGGGGGTGGTGGGCGGTGCGTTGAAAGCCTCGAAGGGTTGCGGGTTGATTGAAAATTGATTGCTTTTTGTCACAGTTTGCAGATTGTGAAGCGGTTAAGAGTACGCACTGTACACGCGAATTTAAATAATGCGTTTTCATTCAGCCAATCTGTCGTTTAATAAATACAAATGAAAATGAAAATGAAAACAACTGAGCGCTAGTCGGTACTTGGCCAGCAGATACCCTATATTCAGTGCAGTTACAAACGAATATGTACACGAATCACACGCACTTTATGCAGCGGATGTGCTTCTACTTCCCTCCCTTCTCGAAAATACACCCTGGATTATCCTCGGTGCTTATTGTCCGATTCCTATTAAATTTGCAGAGCCTACGAATGGCATACGAGTATGCTTAAGAACAGTCCAAACAGGCCCTCTTTGCACCATGCAGGGTATTTATAGTATAAATTGACCGAAGCGAAACTGCAACAATCCGATTTAAACTGCTGCAAAACGGCTTTTAATCTGAAAACCGAAGCTGAGTGCATTATGTTGTGCTAATTAATTCCCTGGAAAGATATTAGATAACTTTGGCCTTTTAATCAAATTTCATGCGAACTTGGTAACAGACTTTTGCGCAACAGAGCTAAAGTGTATTCCATTAAGAGAGAATCTTTTGCTAAATTTAGCCGCTGGTACTTGTTAAGCCCAAGCTGAACTTTAGTCAGTGCATTAAGTCAATTAATTTGCTGCGCGCTGTCAAAAGTCAAATTTGCATTTTCAAAATGTTGGCATCTCTGGCCTTGAGAGTGCACCATACCCTGTGAAGCATCCATTACTGTAAAAGGGCTCTATAAATGAATTAAAGAAATAAAAACAACATAAAAGTGAATAAAAACGATAAAAGCTTATGCATAAAAACAAAAATAATAATATACATTGAAGCAGATACTAATTTCTGAAAAATTTTAAAAGCTCAAGCTTTCTCTCCATTTTCCACTGAAATTAATACAAGTAGATTTTTCATCGTAGTTCACAGTTTATTTTGCCCGAAGCACTTAGCTGGAATGCGTCGTGTTTTCTGTGCTGTCAAGACGGCATGGAAGAAAGCATGAAGGATATGCTAAAGTTTAAACTCGCTTCCTTTGCCTGTTTGCCCAACTAACCGACAACACAAACTGCCATCCTGGCTGCCTGGCTGCCTGGCTGCCTGCCTTATCTTTGCCTTCATTTGCAAAGCCTTTTCACTTAATTTGCTTCACAGGCTTGCCGCCTTCACTATGCCACGCCTCTAAGTACTCTGTTTCCTGTCTCCTTCGTCTGCTCTCCGTCGTTTGTTCAACAGTTTCGCCAGCCTTTTAATGGCTTCAGCATTTCTGCACTGGCCTCACGGAAGCTGTGCCTGCTCCAGTTAAGCCTGCTGCCTGGACCGACCCTTCAGCCCGCAAACCCCCGTCTCCTCCAGTTTTGAAGAGTTGTCGAGTAATCGGGTCATGAAATGGCATCCACATTTTTCATTAAGCCAAAAGTGCGAGGCGTCTTCATCTTATTTACAATGGCCTGTCAGAAGGGCTTTCATCTCTGAAGCCCATCAGAGATACACTCACACACACATGCACACATACACACACACACCTAAACACGGAAATGCAACAACTTTGTTATTTTTTTTTTTTAAAAAAGTAGCTACTTTGAATAGCAATCTACGACAACAAACTGTGACCAGAATGCGTTCAAGAAAGGGCATCTTAACTTTTTCAAGAAACATGCATCCAAAAATATATAAAAGAGGGATATATATTTATGAAAATGTCGGGCAGCCGACTTTTTTTGCGCCTCTCTATCAATTACAAAGGCTCTAAATGGCACATAGACCGAATCAAGATACGCAAGCCAGCCCCCAATATTTCGTAATTTCCTCACCAGGAAGCTACCCTTCTCCCATGGTAGCTGGCAAATCTGTGTCTGTGACAGATATATTGATATATTAATATTCAATATATATTTATATTTGAATTTGAACCAGCGCGCTGCCGTTAGTCGGTTCGATGCTCATGTGTTCAGCACACGTTTCTGATATCTGGCCAAAGTTTAAAGCCGCATGAAAGACAAAGTTTTCAAGACGTGATCTTAGAGCTTCGCGTGCATCAAAAAATCTAGCTTAAAGTTTCAAATGCCCGTAGCTAAGTTGGCCTATACTTACTGCCAAATAAACGATTCGGCATGACAATAGTTAGTTAGTGTGTAGGCAGTTCGGTGTTGTGATAACCTGCGAGTTTTCTATTCATTTCATGCGACTAAACGCTGTGCGTTGCATAATTTGAAGCACTGCGAATAAGTTGAGCTATCATCAGCTGCAGTGTGCGCTGGCCGCGCCCACATGCCGCCCAGCCCTGAGGCCTCGGCACGTGTAATATCTTCTACATTTATAATTTCTGTCGTGCAGCTGCGCGGGGAGAGCTGGCAACCGAGGGGTGGCAAAAAATGTTAATCATGATGAACCAGTTAGACACAGAAACGAAAAAAAAAAAACGAAAATTGAAGGAAAGAGCTGGGGAAAGTGGAGACCAGTCCGATTACCAACCGACCGACCGACCGACCGACTTACTGACTGACTGACTGACTGAGGGACTGAGGAACTGGCTGGCAGTGGCAGCAGGGACCTGTGTGGGCACACACATGCATGTGCCACGTGAGGGGTTGAGGCTGAGATGGGGCTTGGGGTGCTGGCACGTGTTCGTGTCTCGTTTCTCATGTAAAATGCATGAAAAACAAACACGCGCGTCTTTTTTGCTTACGCATAAAAGTTTTCTTCTCGTTTTATTTGTATACCCTGAACCCATTGAAAGTGGGTATAAGGGTATATTGTATTTGTGCAAAATCCAAATGTATGGAACAGGCAGAAGGAAGCATCTCCGACCCCATAAAGTATATATATTCTTGATCCACATCCTTTTTTTATCATTCAAAATTTTGACCCAAATCGACAAAATGGCAAGAGGTTACATCACATTTTTTTTTTAAATCGAGGTCGGTGCGAAAATCGACACTTTCGATGATTTATTTTTAATACCTCGGGTAATAGCTCCGCGCGGAGATATGACGTTCCAAAACGACATAATATCTCGGGTAATAGCTCCGCGTGGAGATATGACGTTCCAAAACGACATAATATCTCGGGTAATAGCTCCGCGCGGAGATATGACGTTCCAAAACGACATAACTCCGCGCGGAGATATGACGTTCCAAAACGACATAACTCCGCGCGGAGATATGACGTTCCAGAACGACAAATTATCTCGGGTAATAGCTCCGGGTGGAGATATGACGTTCCTCAGCGACATAATATCTAGGGTAATAGCTCCGCGTGGAGATATGACGTTCCAAAACGACATAATATCTCGGGTAATAGCTCCGCGTGGAGATATGACGTTCCAAAACGACATAATATCTCGGGTAATAGCTCCGCGTGGAGATATGACGTTCCAAAACGACATAATATCTCGGGTAATAGCTCCGCGTGGAGATATGACGTTCCAAAACGACATAATATCTCGGGTAATAGCTCCGCGCGGAGATATGACGTTCCAAAACGACATAATATCTCGGGTAATAGCTCTGCGTGGAGATATGACGTTCCAAGACGACATAATATCTCGGGTAATAGCTCCGCGCGGAGATATGACGTTCCAAAACGACATAATATCTCGGGTAATAGCTCTGCGTGGAGATATGACGTTCCAAGACGACATAATATCTCGGGTAATAGCTCTGCGTGGAGATATGACGTTCCAAGACGACATAATATCTCGGGTAATAGCTCCACGCGGAGATATGACGTTCCAAAACGACATAACTCCGCGCGGAGATATGACGTTCCAAAACGACATAATATCTCGCGTAATAGCTCCGCGTGGAGATATGACGTTCCAAAACGACAGAACTCCGCGCGGAGATATGACGTTCCAAAACGACATAGCTCCGCGCGGAGATATGACGTTACAAAACGACATAATATCTCGGGTAATAGCTCCGCGTGGAGATATGACGTTCCAAAACGACATAATATCTCGGGTAATAGCTCCGCGCGGAGATATGACGTTCCAAAACGACATAATATCTCGGGTAATAGCTCTGCGTGGAGATATGACGTTCCAAGACGACATAATATCTCGGGTAATAGCTCCACGCGGAGATATGACGTTCCAAAACGACATAACTCCGCGCGGAGATATGACGTTCCAAAACGACATAATATCTCGGGTAATAGCTCCGCGTGGAGATATGACGTTCCAAAACGACATAATATCTCGGGTAATAGCTCCGCGCGGAGATATGACGTTCCAAAACGACATAATATCTCGGGTAATAGCTCTGCGTGGAGATATGACGTTCCAAGACGACATAATATCTCGGGTAATAGCTCCACGCGGAGATATGACGTTCCAAAACGACATAACTCCGCGCGGAGATATGACGTTCCAAAACGACATAATATCTCGGGTAATAGCTCCGCGTGGAGATATGACGTTCCAAAACGACAGAACTCCGCGCGGAGATATGACGTTCCAAAACGACATAGCTCCGCGCGGAGATATGACTTTACAAAACAACATAATATCTCGTGTAATAGCTCCGCGCGGAGATATGACGTTCCAAAACGACATAATATCTCGGGTAATAGCTCCGTGCGGAGATATGTCGTTCCAAAACGACATAACTCCGCGCGAAGATATGACGTTCCAAAACGACATAAATCCGCGCGGAGATATGACGTTCCAAAACAACATAGCTCCGCGCGGAGATATGACGTTCCAAAACGACATAATATCTCGTGTAATAGCTCCGCGCGGAGATATGACGTTCCAAAACGACATAATATCTCGGGTAATAGCTCTGCGTGGAGATATGACGTTCCAAGACGACATAATATCTCGGGTAATAGCTCCACGCGGAGATATGACGTTCCAAAACGACATAACTCCGCATGGAGATATGACGTTCCAAAACGACATAATATCTCGGGTAATAGCTCCGCGTGGAGATATGACGTTGCAAAACGACATAACTTCCGGCGGAGATATGACGTTCCAAAACGACATAATATCTCGGGTAATAGCTCCGCGTGGAGATATGAAGTTCCAAAACGATATAACTCCCGGCGGAGATATGACGTTCCAAAACGACATAATATCTCGGGTAATAGCTCCGCGCGGAGATATGACGTTCCAAAACGACATAACTTCCGGCGGAGATATGACGT